TCCACAGATGCTGGCCACCCTGCTCATCACCCGCCAGTTCCTGCAGAACATCAAGGAGGTCTCTCAGCCCCACCTCTACAGCAAGTTCAAGCGGGGGGACTTCAGCATGCAAAACCTCCGGGAGGTCACCCACACCCTCTTCCGGCTGCTCACCCAGAAGTACACCTTGGCCAGACCTCTGGGGGCCGAGTCTCGGCCCCGACGAGGCCACCCGCAGGCGGGACATGGGCCAGAGCCCCCCGAGGCGGCCGAGGGGGTCCCCAAGGGGGAGAAGAAATGCCTGAATGGTGGGTGTGGGGTCCCCGAGGACGAGGAGGACGAGGAGAAAAAGGAGTCCGACTCGGAAGACGAGAGCATCCTCGACTGTGGGCTGAAGCTCAAGAAGGTGAGCTTTATTGAGAAGGCCAACCGGAAGTCTGGGGAGTTCAGGGGCCTGGAGGAGGTCAGCTTCTCGGAAGAAGGCAGCCCCACCATGGTGGAAAAGGGGATGGACCCGGCCTCCGTGTTTGAGCTGTGCGAAGATGACGAGGAGAGCGACGGGCCATTGGGGAGTCTCGCGGAGGGCCTGCCAGAGGCCAAAGAGCCCGCAGTTTTCATGCGAGCCCGGAGGCCACGAGGCACCAAGAACCTGGTGGAAGGCGAGGAGGAGGATGATGAGGAGGAGGAGCAGAAGCCCATGAGGACCTCTTGGATTGACCCGCCGGAGGAGGACTACACCACGCAGCTGGCCCAGGCCGAGGTGGAGAGCTGCATGAAGAAATATGAGGTCAGATGAAAATGCGGAAATTCTTGGAGATTTGGAGGTGGAGCCTAGGGACAGGTGGGTTTGGGGAGGGGAGGGACCCCAGCAGGGAGGAGATACGCTAGAATCTCCCCTCTGAACCTGCTGTTGTCTCCAGGGGACCGCATCTCTGTGGTCTGGAGATCACTTGTAATTCTGGAAGAGCTCCAGGTTAGATTGGTCCTCCCAATGAAGGAGTTTGAAATTCCTGTATCCTGCTGGCTTCCTTCTCTTCTAGCCCCTTCGGCTTTTATGCCACTGGCTTTCACCACATATTTCTTTTCAGGACTTTTTTTTGTAGAAAAATCCCAGCAGGAACTCATTAGCATAATAGGCCACACCCAACAGCAGACTCATTAGCATATTAGGCCACACCCTATGCATTCCCTTTTCTTGCCCAGATGCCCCGTGGCTGTAGGGAGCCCGGGCAAGCCGGCCCTTGGACGGGACGGGCCCCCCTGGCCCGTCCACTTCAGAGTCATTGAGGGGGTCTCCAGGCCTTCCCTCTGTAGCCACACACGCAGCGGTTTTGGCTGTAGTGGGCATGGCCAACTCTGAAGCTAGCCGGAACTCCATTCCTGTGCGTTCCTGCCCCAAAATAGCCCTGTTTCTTTATATGCTCCGCTGAGTCAGGAGCTCTTAACAGGGACATACATTGAAACTCTGAATTGAGACTGAACGGATAGAATTTCTGAGCATCCCTCCTTATTCGATTCCAGCTGTGCCTTGGAGACCAACAAGATTTCTAGGGTATTTGACTCTTGGAAGGTCCCGCCCCCCAAATCTTGTTGCTTTCTAAGGTCTTCCTGTTCTACAGCAGAGCAACCCGGCTCCCTTCTGAAGCTACCTTTGGCCAGTTTCAGTCCCAGTTTCTGGAATGCCTCACGTTGGTGGAGTGGCCACGAAATGGGGATTGCTAAACAGCTGGCCGAGGTTCACAAGAATGAAGAGCAGGTGGCCACGGCTAGCATCTTGTGTCCATTAGTGGCCAGCCAGGTGCTCCCTGGGAAGATCCCCCAGCAAAGCGCGATTTATCCCCATCGCCTTAGGCTTAGAGGCACACCACCACGGATCCTGGAAGTCCCATTGGCTCTCAGGATAAGTAGTGATCGACAGACCAATCCGCCTTTCATGACTTTGCCTGGAACGATTTTTAAAAAAATCATTAAAGAAGCTGCCACCACGTCTTGTGGCCTTGAGTTCCGTAAGTGAACCACCCATTCTTCAGGCCTCTGCACTAAACTAGAGTGTCTTTGGGTGGACCTTAGAGCCAAAAGGGGAGGAAGGTTTCAGGCAAGATAACGGGCAAGCGGTGGCTTTCCCAGACATCCTGATTCTCTGCTTACCCTAACCCTAAAAAACCCCAGGACACGTTCCAGGACTACCAGGAGATGTTCATCCAGTTTGGCTACGTGGTTCTCTTCTCCTCGGCCTTCCCGCTGGCCGCCATGTGCGCCTTAATCAACAACGTCATCGAGATCCGCAGCGACGCCTTCAAGCTCTGCACGGGGCTCCAGCGCCCTTTTGGGCAGCGTGTGGAAAGCATCGGAGAGTGGCAGGTCAGGAGAGTTACGTGTCATGTTGTCATCCCACCCCCACCCCTGGTCCAGGTTGCGTTCACTGAGCAGAAGGAAAGCAGGAATCGGAAGCCCTAAAGAGGTGAACCTTGATGGAGCAGAATGGGGTGCGTCTAGTCCAGCATTCAGCAGTGCCCGGACTAGTACCTCTGGGAAGTACACAGCATGAAGGGGGACAGCCCTCTGCCCACAACTGGCATTCAGAGGTACACTACCTCTGAACATGGAGGTTCTTCCTGTTTAGCTATCGCGACCTTCCATTTATAGAATCCCCTTCTAAAGCCATCGAAGTTAGTGGCTGCCCTGACGGGGATGGCCCCAGCGAGCCTGATCTCGTCAGATTTCAGAAGCTAAGCAGGGCCGTACCTGGTTAGTATTTGGATGAGAAACTGCCAAGGAAGTCCAGGGTCGCTACGCAGAGGCAGGCAGTGGCAAACCATCTCTGAGCCAGTTTGGTGTAGTGGTTAAGTGTGCGGGCTCTAATCTGGGAGAACCGGGTTTGATTCCCCACTCCTCCACTTGCACCTGCTGGATGACCTCGGGCAAGCCGTAGTTCTGATAAGAGCTGTTCTTGAAAAAGAGCAGTTTCTGTCAGAGCTCTCTCAGCCCCACCCACCTCACAGGGTGTCTGTTGTGGGGAGGGGAAGGGAAAGGCGTTTGTAAGCCGCTCTGAGACACCTTCGGGTAGTGAAGGGCGGGGTATAAATCCAATCTCCTCCTCCTCCTCCTCTTCTTCTTCTTCTTCTGAACACCTTTTGCCTTGGAAACCCTGTGGAATCGGCATAAGTTGGCTGTGACTTGATAGCCCTTTCCACCGCCAAGTTAGTGGCCATAGCCGGATCCTGTGGCAGTGAGGTCCACAAGCTAATAATGCTGAAGAAGTGCTTTCTTTTTGTTTTTTCCTGGATCTGCTGCCCATCCATTTCACTGGGTGATTCCCAAGACGTGAGTGTTATGAGAGGAGGAGAAAAAATGTTCATCATCCACTGTCTCTCCATAGTTTTATACACCACTTAGCTGTTCATTTCCTAAACCAAAATGGCCGAACCTTTCCTCCCAGGGAATGTGCTCAAGGCCTGCCAGCGGGAGGTTTACGGCCGTCGCAGGTGGAAGCCCCCCGGGCAGGGCGAGAGGCTCAGAAGCCAGATTCCGTCTCCACAACCGAGCTTCTTTCACCTCTCCTCCTGATTCCTTGTTTTCGAGTTAGGTTGTTGAGATCTAAATGGTTCTGATCTGCTGAAATACAGATGGGGCAAATCTTGTGTGTGGGGGAGGGTCTTCACTGTTATCTGCTGACTGAATTTCGAAACCATTAATGGTTGTGGCTCACAACCGAGGCATCTTTGGGAACTGTAGTTTTTTGCTTTTTTATTTTCCTTTTTTGCATGAGTGCTGGGAACCACCTACTGGAGGGACTCCGGCCGCCACGCATTCAAACTTGTGGCTTCTGATTTTCAGTTGCACTTCAGGCTGCGTGTGACGTGGGCCTTTCTCATCCACCCACAGTCCCCAGTTAACTGCAGCCCTTCACTCAGGGCTGGCCCTTGCATTCAGTGGCAAGGCAGTCTGTGCGCAGCACCCCTATGCCCAGGGCTCTGTGCAGAAACAGTGATGTCCTGGATCAGGTGGTTTTTGAGATGCTGAAAGAAACTCAGCGCTCAGAGAAACGCACACCTGGTTTTTTCTTTTCTCTCTGCAGAAAGTAATGGAGGCCATGGGCATCTTGGCGATTGTGGTGAACTGCTACCTGATTGGTCAGTGCGGGCAGCTGCAACGCCTCTTCCCGTGGCTGAGCCCCGAGGGGGCCATCATCTCTGTCGTGGTGCTGGAGGTAACAGCTTCCTTCAGAATCCCCTCTTCCTCCTCTTGGTTTTTGCAGTTGGGACCGGTTAAAACTCTTGCCGTTCAGTGGTGGTGGTGACCTTTCTCAAGAGAGCCAGCGTGGTTTAGTGGTTACTGTGTTAGACTAGGATCTGGGAGACCCAGGTTTGAATCCCCACTTCTGCCATGGAAGCTGGCTGGGTGTCCTTGGGCCAGTCATACACTTTCCATCTAACCTGCCTCACAGGGTTGGTGTGAGGATAAAATGGAGGGGAGGAGAACGATGTAAGCTGCTTTGGGTCTCCATTGGGGAGACAGGTGGGGTTTAAATAAAATTAATAAAATAATAATAATTAATAAGCCTAAAACTGCTAGGTAAGGATGCTGCAGGCTCTGCTGCTGGGTTCCAGCTTGTTATGATAGACCCCGACCACTTCCCTCCCTCTGAGGCAAGATTTCCCCAGTATCATTCGAGGGAAAACCATAGAGTTTTCCCTCGAATGATAGACTGTCCCCCTGCAACGTGACCGATGTGATGACATCACCTCTGGGTGACGTCATCACGCTGGGCACATCTTTGTGATCCTGGCACTTTGGGGGTGGGGTTCCCTCCGGCAGCCTGATCTGGGTCGGCGGGGAACGGACCCATCGAGCGGGGTTTCCCTGCCCCCCTGGGGGACCTGGCAACCCTACAAACCATACAGGGGTTTGAAGGGCAAGACCAGCACCTTGAATTGTGCCTGGAAACAAACATGTGAAATGCCGACGTGAAGGAAAAGGTCGATTCCGGTGGGTCACCATGTTGGTCTGAAACAACAGAACAAAGTTTGAGTCCAGTGGCACCTTTAAGACCAACAAAGTTTAATTCTGGGGATATGCTTTTTGTGTGCATGCATCTGAAGACGTTGGTCTTTGTTGGTCTTATACCCAAAATTAAACTTTGTTGGTCTTGGTGCCACTGGACTCAAACTTTGTTCTGTTGTTTCAGACTTTATTTTTTAAAAAAGAATACAGGATCTTTAATCACTGGCAGACTGTTTGATTTGCTGAATATTTGCTTATATGCTTGGCTGCGGAGTGGCATGTGGCAACAGCCGGTCAGGAGGGGAAGGAGAAGCCCCCCTGGGTTGCATGAGAAAATGTGTGTGTTTGAATCACTACCAGTTGCCCTGTATTGTGCCACGTGAGAGTGTGAAAAGCAGCCCAGTGAATAGGCTTGAACTGCTTATATAGAGCCAAACTGAGAGACAAAAAAACCTCCAACCTGTTCCCTGTTAGCAACCAGTGAATGTAATTGTGAACCAAACTTGTGGGTGTTTGCTCATCCATATATTTAACATAAAAAGTTGCCAAGGGACACCAAATCATTTTTGCATCTAAAACCCTCTGCACCCCAGCAGACTCCTCCATCAAGGTTTTTCTTGGCTGCTAAACTACACAGGCTATTTGGGACCTGATTCCCTAATGCGGTGGAACTTTGGCCCCTTTCACATTACCGTTCTAAACCGGATGTTATTTGTTGTAAAGCAATACAGGCACTGGGGTTTCATACAACAAACTTCATCCCGTTAATGAGCCGTCTCTGAAGCGCTCGGCCATTTCAAACGGTGCCACTTTCCCCCCACCCTTTTTCGCCACACAACCTTCTTTGCCCCTTCCCCCAAAACATTCTAAGTTGAGTGCTTTAGTGCTACACCAGGGGTGGCCAAACTTGCTTAATGTAAGAGCCACATAGAATAAATGTCAGATGTTTGAGAGCTGCAAGACAATGAACAAAGATTACACATTTTTACTAGGAAATATGCAAATTTGCTTTTTATTAACATTAAATGAGACTGCCAAAATAATAACAAAAGCGGTAAAAGCAGATATTGATAATGATATTTATTTGTCCAATTATATTTGTTTGCTAATGATATTTAGCTCCCCCAGCCACCCTGCCGGGAGCCACACAATATGTGTGAAAGAGCCATGCGGCTCCCGAGCCACAGTTTGGCCACCTCTGCGCTACACCAATGTAGTCTCTCAGTGGAGTCAGGGCATCTCAACGGTGTCACTGTTAACACTGAAGTGCTATATAAGTTGTGCTACAGTGCTCAACTTAGAACGTTCAGGGAAAAAAGGGCAAGGAAGATCATGCAGCAAAAAAGGGCGTGGGCGGGGGAAGCGGCATTGTAGGAAGCACTACGGACATGTTACACAGCATACCACAGCAGTTCAGAAGCGCAAGGAAGAGGTGAACATGGAAGAAAGCTGTTTCCCTCAAAAATGGCTCAGCCCTGCTTTGCCAATGGGATGCAATCGGCTTTGTATGGCTTGGCATATTACTTAGTCTCAAGGTTCCCCTTGGCTATAGTGTACATTTCATAGTCCAGCATAGGGCCATTAGCAACCTGCTCCTAAAACGGATTACAAAGGGTGTCTGAAAGGGGCCTGTATGTCACCAAGCAGCTATGAGGGAGCCCCAATGGAGATCATAGACGTGGAGGCGGGGAAAGGGAGTGCTTTTGAAACTCTTCCCACCCACCCCCTTTTTGGTGCTCTGATTTAAACTGTCCTCAGCCACTTTAAGCCCCAGTGGGGGGAAAGGTTGCTTTGAAACTCTTCCCACCCACCCCCTTTTCGGTGCTCTGATTTAAACTGTCCTCCTCAGCCGCTTTAAGCCCCAGTGGGGGGAAAGGTTGCTATAGTTCCCCCACCCTTTGTATTCGTTTCCCCATATTGATGCTTAAAGCAGTCTTGGGGAAGCTTTGTTTTTGATCAGAGAAATGCCGTGGTTGGGGTATGTGTGAAAAGAGAAGCCCTTCTCCCTGGCCCACAGTAGCCATACGGGGAGGGGGGCGGGCGCACTGCTTTTTGAGGTTGCAACCCAGTTTGACTCTCCTTGTGAAGCGAAGCATGCAGAAGAGATGGGGGGGGCCCTGGCGGGGGGGGTGTGTGTGTGTGTGCGCGCGCAACAACAGAGAAGGCAAGAGTGTTCAGGCTCTTTCCCTCCTCTTCCCCTCAGCATTTTGCGTTCTTGCTCAAATATATCATCCAAGTGGCAATTCCGGACATCCCGGCCTGGGTGGCGGAGGAAATGGCGAAACTTGAATATCAGCGACGTGAAGCTTTCAAGGTCAGCTTGTTGGGACGTATTTCCCCTTCCACTCGAGCGCACTCTGCCCAGCACAGGGTTGGCGGTTCCAGGTTGGGGAATACCTGGAGATCTTGGGGGGGGGGAATAGCCTCAGGTGAGAGGGGAGAGACACTAGCAGGGAGGTATATTCCATGCATCCCGTCTCACACTGAACTATAGGAGAGAATTGAGCAGTTACTCTTCATGTTCCACGAAGCGGGCCATTTATGTAATCACCTGTCCCTGTGGGCTAAAATGCATTGGAGAATCGACGCGGGACAAGGTATATTCCATGCAGTCAGTCCGCTCTCCAACGCAGCCGTTTCCTTCTGGAGGACTGATCTCTGGAGTCTGGACATCAAGTGTCATTCTAGGAGATCTCCAGACCCCTCCTGGAGGTTGGCAACCCTAGCCCCTGCGTCTGCCGGTCAGTAACAGTGAACCAGGGGAGGGGGCTGAAATTTCATCAACCAGAAAGAAAAACAAGCTGTTCCTTTCTTGACCGGGTGAGGGGAAGGGAGAATAAAACAGGGACGTAGGTTCGTTAACGTCGACAAATGATCCGTAGTATTTAGCTATAAATTAGAAAGTTGTGGTTCAGATCCCACCTCCGACAGCAGCTCAGAAAGGCACTTTGTACAGGATCTTTCGGTCCCAATCATCTCCTCTCCCTTTGTAATAAAGGGGCAATTGTAATAATCAGGTCTCCGACCTTACTGAAAGTATCTTAGCCAACTAACCTTATGAGCTTTAATTGATTGATTAATCCAGTACATCTCAACTTTAGTTTGGATCCAAAAATGGGTTGTGACTCCCCCAAAAAAGTAGGGTTGCCAACTCCGAGCTGGGAAATTCCTGGAGGTTTGGGGGCAGAGCCTGGGATGGGTGCAGGTTGGGGGGGGGCCTCAGTGGCCAGCTCTCATCCAGTTCTCCTGGCAGCTTTGGAGAGTAGACTGTGGGGCATTATAGCCTGCTGAGTCTCTCCTTCCCAACTCCTGCCTTCCTGCCTCTCCTGGCTCTACCCCCAAATATTCAGGAATTTCCCAACCTGAAGCTGGCAATCTGAGGGAGAATCCCTACTTTGCCATGGAGGGTGGCAGGGCGACACCAGGCCAGTCACGCCCTCCCAGCCTCACCCACCTCACAGGGTTGTTGTGGACAGAATAGGGGAGAGGAGGACAATGAAAGGCACTTTGGGTTCCCACTGGGGAGAAAGGTGTAAAGGTTTCCCTTGCTCGAAAGCCAGTCGAATCCGACTCTAGGGATGCAATGCTCATCTCCATTTCCAAGCCGAAGCACTGCAGGAACAGAAAAGAGGAGGGGCTGGACCCTGTGGGTGGGCTGCCCTCCTAGTGGCTCTTCAGCAGCGCAAGGAGCCTTCTCTTGAGGACAGGGGTCTCCCTTGCGCCAGCCCCATGGGGATTGGGGCCCCTTCTCAGCCACAGCCTTTCTCGCCCCCCCCAGAAACACGAGCGGCAGGCCCAGCACCACTTCCAGCAGCAGCAGCGGCGCAAGCGGGAAGAGGAGGAGCGCCAGCGCCACGCCGAGTACCACGCCCGGAAGGAGCGGGAGAGCGGCCGGGAGGAGGGCAAGGCCGACGGGGGGGCGCCGGACCCAGCCCACGAGAAGAGCCTGCCCAAAGGCAAGGGCACCGGTGGGTCGGGCCACGGCTCTGAGAAGCCAAAACGGCCCAGCTCCCTCCTGGCTACCAACAATGTGATGAAGCTGAAGCAGATCATCCCACTGCAGGGCAGGTTTTTGTCGGGGGGCGCTGGGGCGGGGGCCACGGGGACGGCCCGCTCCCCGCAGTCCCCCACTGGCACGGACAACAAACTCCCGGGCTTCCTGAGTTTCAAGTTCCTGAAGTCCCCAGAGACAAAGCGGGAGGCCGGTACGGAGAAGGTGCAGTCTCCCACCAAACCTTTCAATCCCAGCAAACTGTTCAATTTCAGCAAGTCGGAGGGGGGGAACGGGGCTCCTCCACCGCCACAAGCCCCAAGGGCCGGCCACATGGCAGACCCCAGCGAGAGGCCCCCGGCCAGCAGGTCGCACCTCAACGGGATGGTGGCCGAGGAGATGGCTGAGGAATCTGAAATCCGAACCATGGTGGAGGAGGAGGAGGAGGGTCCGAGCCATAAACTCTAACCCGTGGCTGGGGGCGGGGGCGGGAGGGGAAGCAGTTGTGAGTCCGGGGTGTGTGTGTGTGGCAGGAGCAGGAGACTGGTTCTTCACGCAGAACTGGGGCACCCTTGATCTTGAAGCTGAGACCCCAACTCCGTGTGGGTTTGGCAAAGCTTGGGTCCAGTTGTTTTGGTTGGAAGATCAGCCTCCTGAGGTGGGCCAAAGTTCCAGTTGAGAAGAGAGAAGGAAAAGCCTGGCCCAAGAACCCGAGTGTTTCCAACTGGGTACGCTGGGGATGGGTTACGGCTTCAGCACGGCTCTGCAGGTGATCTTCAGTCTCCTCTGCACCTGGTTCACCTCTAGGGCCGGGGACAGTAAAGTGACATCGAGTTCAGGGCGGTGCCCGCGGGACAAGGAGCGCATTTCCTTGTCTGTGGGGCTCATGGTTCTGCTCCCACGTCTCTGGTCAGAGCTGGGTCTCCAAGCTCTGCTTGAAGGGCTTCATTGATTTGCGTGTTCTCCATGTTTGTGCGTCTTTGCCAGAGAGCGTCCCCTGTGGGAAACCTGCCACTAGGACCTGGCCAGCATACCCTCCTGGACTCGTGTTTGGGAAATTGCAGGGGAGCAACAAAACAGAGTTCGTCTGTTGAGGGAAGAATATTGGGCGGGGGAGGGGAACTGATCCTTTGCAGAGGTTTGCAGCTCTTACAAAAGCCCAGTTTTGGGGGATCTGTTGCAGACTCCCCATATTGGAGCAAAAGTTGGTTTGGGAGGGAGGAAGTAGTAGCTCAGATTTGCTTCCAAATATTAATATTTTGTTTTAAACCCCCAGCACCACCACACACACATGCATCCCTGTCTAGCAGTACCAGTTATGGACACTGCTGCATTTCATGTGGTTCACAGACAAAACAATCACATTTAGCAAATGAGGACTTAGGAATGCTTCAGCATAATTTTTTGCAGCGCACCCTCAACAGCATAACCTTGTTGAAAGGTGCAGGAGTCTAAAAGCAGCATCTGGATTCTGACATGTTACTAGATTTAGAATTTGGACGGATACACCCTTTCAGCTCCGTACCATATCCTTTTTGCATCTTGGGGTTTGCAGCAGGAACCAGCAGGGACAGATTTGCCCAGAGAGTGAGGGCTTGTTGGTGGTTCTTGTATTTTACACCCAAAAACAAGTCAAATCTTGGTGGCGCCTTGAATGATTTCCAAATGCTTGATCAGAGAGATGCAAAAGCACTGCCTGCCTTTGAAAAAGGCTCCTAGCTCTTACCAGAACTCGCTCATCTCCCTTCCTGGAGAATTCACCTAGCAGACTGCCCCTTTTCTGCTTGAACAACAGCCCTGTAGGGCAGGATGGCCATGGACCCAGGTTGTTTGGGGCGGGAGAGGAGTTTTTGAGCTGAAGGTCATGCATGGTTGATATTTCTTGCACTATAAATGAAACCAAGATTTCTTTTGCCTTTCCTGCGGATGGGCTGGGGAACTGTCCCAGTAGCCGCTGCTTGGGCTTTTGTAAAAGCGGACTGTGGGGTGTTGGGGGGACAGGCATCGGCAGATCTAAAAAATCTACATGATTTTATTAATTTTTTAACATCTTCACTGGCAGGGAAAACAAATGAGGAGACAAGCCCTCGCAAGCCGTTTGGTGTGGCCATGGTCCGTTAAGATAGGAGTTTTTTTGGTTCTTGTGCAATAAGGGCCTCATGACTTTTATGCCAAGGATAGGGGTTTGATCCTGCTGTTTGGTAATGTGGGGGAGATGTGTTTTGGCTTCAAGAAATTGTCCAGCATTGATTTCAGGGTGTGCAAAAAACGGTGGGACCTCCACCAGTCAGTCGGTTGCAAGCAGGGAAATAGGTGCTGTAGCTGGAGGGGGGGGTGCGTTAGTTGTAGAACGTTTTAGAAAGTTTGGAAATCGGGGTTGGGGGGGGGGGGGGGTGTGCAAAAAACGGTGGGACCTCCACCAGTCAGTCGGTTGCAAGCAGGGAAATAGGTGCTGTAGCTGGAGGGGGGGCGCAGTTAGTTGTAGAACGTTGTAGAAAGTTCAAATCACTTGGAAATTGGGGGTGGGGGGGGGCTTGATTGGCAGGTATCGTGTGGTTCCACACTCTCTTTGTCATCTTTCCCGGTTGGGTTCCAGGGCTTTTTTTCTGGGGGACCGTGCCGGAACGAAGTTCCAGAACCTCTTTGACAAAATTATTTTTAAAATGTTTCAGAGTTCATGAGTTTTCAGCACTTAGACTGAAAACTTCATTTCTCTCTTGAGCATTCCAGCACCTCTTGTTCTTTAAAAAAAAGAAAAAAAAAAGCCCTGGGGTTATCAATCCAAAAGTCCCCTCTGTCTTATCTGCAACTTTCACTGTACCCGTCTCTCTTGCAGGGCCAACATGGCTCTGGTTGACCTTTTTTGTTTTAAATGAAGCGTTTCCAACCTCCAAAATCCTTGTGCTTAAGTTTGCAAACCCAGGAGTTGGCGGGGTGTTGGATCGGGAGGGTCTCTGATGGACTGCCCCCCCCCAGTGTAGAGGGACAACTTGACAGACACACCTCAGATTCTGACCTCTCGAAAATAACGGCCTGCGGGGTTGTGTTTGTTTTTTAAGGGGCTCAGCTGTTCCACAAGCCTGCTCTGGAAGGAAAGAAGCCTCTGTAAAATGAAGGGACGTGTCTCTGTCCTGCATCCGCATATCATGAGGGAACCATGATGGCTGCGGACTCAAAGCCATTCAAATGATTGGCAGGTGGGTGGGGCACTGGGTGTGCTTGGATCTTCTTTGCCGCCAGCTTTCCCTGAAGAGGGGTGCAAATCCCAAAACTCTCCACAAAGGGGGAAGAAAGTGTATCGTCCAAGCTGCTCAGCCATTCTGAAGCAATGGCCCTCCTTGGCCTGAGTCCTGAAGAATGGACCAGTTTGCATTTTGCTTATCTCGTTCTTCCACGTCTGACATTCTTTCGTGTCACATCCAAGCCATTTCGTGACAGCAATAATGCAGCCCTGGCAGCGGGCTGCAGGCCTTGACTCCTGATGCGTTTGCCCGGTGCTCTATGCTGACAGAAATGTGGATGCCAAAAAAAAAAAAAGCATTGAACTCATCCTGCTGTTCTTGATGTGGCATTTCCATCTGCATGAGGAACAGAGAATCCAACTGCCGGACTCTAGAAAAGGATATTTCACGCGAGTGGACAGACGCCCGTGATGTCGCCGCCTCTCCCTGGCCTTTGGCAGTGCCGAGGTGGGATGGAACACTGCTCTGATCCTGTCCTTTCCCACACACCCCACGCCCAGAGGATGAAACACTGCGGTCCCTGGTGTAAGAGCAGTCTCCCCACCACCACTCCAGTCCCAAGCTACCATCCATAAGGTGGCTCCTTCATCATCTTGGAAGCCTGGAAGATGCTAAGCTTGCCAAAGTGCAGAGGTCTGGTGCAGAGAAGCCAAGAGAGGGCAGCAGTGAAATGCAGGACGGCTCTTCAGAGTCTCGGGGGGGGGGGGGGCCTCCTGGATCCCTTGCGCCCTCCGTCCCCAGAGCGAAAGGCAGCACTGTCAGTTTGAGGTCTCACTCCTCTGAGCAATTATTACTGTACAACAGAGGAAATTCCTTTTATGGGAGGGGAGGGAATGTTAATTTTTTGTAAAACCTATTTATTTGCTGCATTTATTTATTTTGCCTTGAATAAGGAAACAGAGGAGGGAAGTAGTGGATCTTTTCTTTAAGTTATTTTTGTCATATTTTTGTAAAACCGGCAGAAATGCAATAAAAACTATATTTCAACAAAAACAGGAGGAAACGAGGCTTTTTTTTCGGGGAGGGGGGATGGACACAGTAGCTTCTTCCCCCACACTAAAATGAAGCCCTTATGCAGAGCATCACTTACAAAATTCTGCGGTTGGCCCAGCCAATGCAAGGCGGGGGGACTGCATTTCACTGGACCGGACTCCCAGAGAAGGGCGTAGAGCGTTGCTGCTTTCAAAGTGGTGAGGTTGGAGCCCTGGTGTTGACATGGCCGGGGTCTTTAGGGGGCCACGCTTGTGGTAGGCGTCCTCCCCTTTTGTGTACCCCCCTCAAATGGTGCCTGCGTGGACTGTCCAGCAAAATTGAGCATGGCTCAGAGTGCTTGGCATTGGGGGTGGGTGGGAGGGATGGGCTTGGCCCCCCTGTTGGAGCTGTGTGAAGATGGCAAGGAGAGCAATGGGGCCTTGGGCAGCCCCCACCAGAGGCCAAAGAGCCCACAGTTGTCATGCAGGCCACGAGGAGCAGGTTTGCTGGCAAGGAAACCAACGTGTCCTAAGAGCCCCTATTAATCTCAGAGCAAACCAGGCCTTTTGTTAAAATTTGCTGCACCTGAGAAATTTGGGTTGTGTTTTTATTTTAACAAGAATTAGCAGATGCCGCCCTCAGTCCAAAATTGCCAGTGGTGGCGCCCTGCTGCTCAAAGCCATGCCCCCCTCCCAGTCTTCATTTTGGAGCTGCCACAAGGGTGAAGTAGCCTCATTGCTCAGGCCAAGGCCCCTCCCCGGCCCGCATCCTCTTTAGCAAGTTGAAGGCTTCTAGGGCACCTGTAAGCAGGGTATAGTCCACAGCACCCTTCCAGCACTTGCTGTTCTGAGACAAACTGCTCCTGGCTGTGGAGGCTCCATTTAGGATTAAGGGACTTTCTGTTGATATGATACACATCTCTATAAGAGCCCCACTGGATTGGACCAAATGCTGTGGTGTGCCGTTTCCAACTGTGTCCCAGCCTTTTGGGGGGAGGGCGACAAGGTCATAGCCCTGCGTGACCGACTCGGGCCTCGAGGGAACTGCTGGGAGCCCTTCCAAGCACAGCAACTGTCCTTGAGCTGTGGAGGCTGAAGGAAAATGGCCTTCCCAAATCAGGCAAGAAGCCCATCAGGACCATCCTCTGGCTTCCCTCCATGGCTCACCATGTGATGGTGGGAAGCCACCAGTGTCTCCCCATGCCAGATGCTGCCCAGAGCCGTGCTGCCTCATAAGAACATAAGAGATGCCAATGTGCTGCCCAGAACCGTGCTGCCTCCAGCCCTAAAGGTTCTATGGGAAGGGTTGGGAGGGGGAGGACGCCTCCAAGTTCCACTACTTTCTCTCCAAGAGGAGTCTGTCCCGGCTCATGCACATGCCAAAAATACATGAATTTAGATTAAGCGACCACTGACTTTAGTTGAGCCCCCTCTCCAGTTGTCCCCATGAGAGACCTTTCACGAATACACGGCAGAAGAGGTGAGAAATACCCATTTTTTATTCTACTGGAGAAGTTGCACAGAACTGGTCCGTTCAAAGAGTGGTGCTAGAGAGAGAGAGAGAGAGAGCAGAGGTGTGCTTTTCTCCGAGTTATACGGCCGGCGTGCAAAGTCCCCAGAGGGGAGTGGGGGGAGAAGACCAAAGAAGGTGAAATGCAACAGTTATTAACAAAGTAGAAAGTAATGGCTGATAGGATCGCCCTTAGAGAGGGACCCTCACAATTAGACTCCAGTACAAAGTTGATTTGATTTTGATGGTAGATACAGGAATGGGGGGGGGGGCTTTCAGCCCCCTCAAGAAAATTATATTTTCAACACATATGGCTAATTGTACAGAGGGCAATGCTGACACAACCCAAGAGAAAGCGCCCGGGGGGGGGGGGGGAACTGGCCAGAACTGGGATCCCCCTCCTGCACCCAGTTAGTTGGACTTGGGGGAACAAGTCGCAAAAAGTGGAATTTATTTTTTAAGAAGGCAATGATCACAGTTTAGACATCATTTTATCCAGACTTGCTCCACAAGCTGG